TATACTTTCTGCAGTTCAGCTAAAATTTGGCAACAGATGAAAGAAAATATCCCAGCATCTCCAGTAGATGCCTACAAAAGAGCAACGGTGCTGCCAAATATAAGAACTCTTTTGTCAATTGCTGTGCACGTTTCCAGTGACTACTTGCACTGCCGAGCGGTCATTCTCCACCTTACGTCGATTAAAGTCATACCTTCGCAACAGGATGACAGAAGATCGTTTAAATGGATTGGCTTTAATGCATATCCATCAAGACATTGCTGCAAAAATGTACGCTAATGAAGTGTTGGACATCTTTAGCAGGAAACAAAAGAAAACTGTCTTTATTGAACATTTAATTTTTTCATTGTTTTGACACTTTCATAAACCTTCCTATACATACTTGAACTTGTAGAAATAAACTTGAAAGAATGACACTAGTTATTGTTTATTTTTTGGCCCGTCCGACCCTTGTGCCCCTCCCAGAAAAAAATTCTGGATCCGCCCTTGACCTACTTGTTATATTTTAAGGTGAAGGGTGAGAAAAAGTCCTTTATATCTCACAAGGAAAGCCAATGTTTAATTGTTTAACAAAACATTGAGTGCGACCGGTTTCGAAGTGTCATCACTTCATCTGGAGAGAGGTGGGGGCGTTTTAATTAGGCATTCCAACAACCTGTCCAAATGGCTACCAGTGGGTACTGACAGTTTAGATATGGCAACCCTGTTGTCATGTTGTCATTAACAGGGTCAATGATACATATATGTTATATACATTGCTCAAAGCTGGTCGTTTGCGAGCAGCCATATTGCCTGGCAAATATTTATTAATTTGAATCAGTTTAGCAAAAATGTGTTTTAAAACCAATTTTCAGACTTTAGATATTTAAAAAATAATAATTGCTTATATGTTTACTTCAAGGCATAAGCTTATGTTTATTTTAAAAAATAGGGATGATCAATCTATGTAACTATCTATTTCACTCACCTTGTCATATCACCAGGCCTACAGAGTTGCCATAACTTTGCCACATCATAACCTGTCAAAACCCACTGGTAGTCATTCAGTTTGGAATGCCTAATAGCCATTAAAAAGGAAATAAATGTCAAACAGTTAATATTACCACAGGATAAAGAACAATACAGAAAAGAGGCATAGGGCTAAAACAGGAACCTAGCAACCGAAGCCAGAAGTTCTTCATGGTGGAGCATTGTCAAAATTGAACCGTAGATTTGTTACTTGTTCGAAGTGCAACACTTTTATAGCAGATGAACGAAGCTGTCACAGATGTCACTGTTAGAAAATTAATATTTTTTTTCCTGTCGTGTCTTTATTTGTCGTTTTGGATTTTTGGTTGTTTTTAACGAATATTCTGATAACTTTTACGTTTTTTTAATGGTTTATTTGTAGTTTTTGTTGATATTTTTAATTGTGGAGTTGTTAATTTAAGACTTTATTGTACGTATTAAGATTAGGTTCATAAACAATGCCGCGTCAAAGAGGAGGCGGATATACTTGTATTTATCATGGATGTACCTGAAGAACAGGTGGCAAAGAAGGACTGTTCACTCTTGTGAAAGATCCAGTGAGGTAGGTATGAAACCTTGAGTGTGAAATAGGAATTGACGTTGCCATAACATGGTAGTACAATGATTGTATGTATTTTTCAGACTTGAATTGTCGCTTAAGGCAGCAAATAAAGAGAACTTATTGGGAAAAGGGTGTTAAACACTTAAGTAAAAATTACAAAATTTGTGAACTACACTTCCAGGATAAATTCGTTTATCAGTCAGGAACAAGAAAACGATTATTTGCAAATGCATTCCCAACTGTATTTCCCCATTCAGAACCTACAAAAAGAGTCACAGTTTTGCAAGGTAAATAAATACAATTTATAGTTAAATGTTACAAAAAGTTTGCTACTTGTCTTGTCATTTTTTTACATTACATTTAGTAGTTTAAAAAATAAAATATTAAGTACTAATAATCTTAGAATATCAACCCATACATTCCATTTTGTAGAACTGGAGGTAAACTGCACTATAGTCGTTTTCCTTTGACGTATGGTTCTGGTTATGGTTGACTTAAAATTGACAGTATTTTTGACAGTGGTTCAGATTTTGGTTCATATGGATGACGTCATAACAAAAACCAATGGAATAAATGGGTTATTGGTTCGGTCAGTCATATGTCATTTTGATGTAAATTTAAATACCACGTGTGTCTCATTTTTAAAGTTAGTTCCATGTTCTCAATTTTATTTTCTTTTAATTTTTTTGTGTAGTTAGTTATTTGCCAAAGAAAATACTAAAGCTATATGATATAGAAGAAAAAATATTAACTAACTTAAGTCTTTAATATAAAATATAAATAAAATAGACACTACTGACAGGACAATTAACAGACGAAAATAATACTAACTATTAAAGTTGAAGGTAGTAGCCATGTGTGAGTTATATGTTCAAAAAAGAGGTAAATAAAACAAGGGTGGTCCTTAAGATCTCACAAGAGATCTTAAGGACCACCCTTGTTTTATTTACCTCTTTTTTTAATACTAACTAATTTAAAACGCTTTAAAATAAAATAGAAATAAAACCGACACTACCGACAAAGCATTTAACGAACGATGCAGACCTTTTTCTAGCGATAAACAGAATGATAATCTTCTCTTGAAAAATAGTGGCATATTTTTTGAATCTCATTTCAGTCCCAAACTTAATCTTAATGGTGTTAAAATAAACAACCACACGCCCTTGAAGATTTCATCCCGAATACTAAACATTCCTAGGAAGTTTTGTCGATCACTACATATTTTACTTTTATTTACATTATTGTCTAAGTTCTTTTTCCTTATTCATATTTATAAGAAAAGTGTCTAGTAAGATCTATTTTCTTAGTTGACCTCGTACGGTACTATTTAGGTTCCGCGGGAAAACTAAATTTAAAAAGTTAGACAATGAGAAGAATACTATTTAAATAAGGATAGAACATACCGCAAATTAGAACCGACTCGTGAGGCTGGTTCAAAAATGTTAACCAAATGGTTATAAGTGACGTCATTGTTTATGAAAGGAATACGGTTGGTTCTAATTTGGTTAACTAGAACCGGAACCAAACCCCAAAGGAAAACGCATTATGTCGACATACAACAACTTATGCAAATTAAAATAAAGTAGTTTTAGTAGTTAGGTTAGTAAAAAATATAAATATTCTGACAATAAATGGGTGTCTAAATGCATATCTAGTTGAAATTTAATAATTTAACAACATTCAATCTGCTGTACTAAAAAGTTGACTAGAATGACAGTGCAGTTTAGTTCCTAGGCACAGAAATATATTCACATTTTATAAAATTATTTTAAATTTCATCTGGCTAAAAAGTGTGACTCAAACATTCAATTCTGACAAATGATGCACCTTCTTGACACTAAGTTGATCTAATAAAAATTTGGTTTCTCTTTCTTTTTTAAGAGGAATTTGTTGTTCATGGCGAAGAAGGCAAAGACAACTTGTGCCTATCCTCAACTTCAGCAGAAGTAGAATTTATTGAACATAGTGCATAGTCAACCATCTCTTTCTCTACCTTGTGTAACAGCACAAATTCAAACGAGTAATGTGTTATCATCAAACACTCCAAGAAAGCAGAGACTGCGACTGAAGATAGCAACGTTGAGAGAACGTTTGTTTGGTGCAAAAAGAAGAAAAATGATTACTTATTATTTAATATTTTTATAAGTACCATTTATATAATTATTCTATATTTTTGTTGTATATTGGGATATAGCTATTTTAATAAAGCTACTAATCTATGTATTATAAATTCGGCTTGCTCTATAAATCTGTGTAAACAATTTTAATTTTCAAACAATTCTATTTTAATAAAATACATGCACTATATTGTAAACTTATCAATTGCATAAATAAACGTTATTTTATTTTTCTTTTTTTTTTATTCATAAAATCCCTAAAATACGCTTTAGCTAATGATTTTTTAACAATTATCCCAATTGATTTATACTTATGGATCATAAATGACTAGTGAGATTTGTGGCACAATATTAATAGTTCATTATGACAGGGTAAGATAAGCTATTGTTTAAAACTTTATGATTTTTATTTTTGAAACCTCTGTCGGAAGTGTTACAAATCAAAAAATAATTTACTTAAATCAAAAATAGTTTCAAATGCATACATGCAAATTTTCATAAAATATGACACATAATTATGTAAAAGAGAAATGTAGTTTTCGCAGTGTAGGTTCAGTGAATAGCTACGTTCGCGTGTACTGTAAATAATTACGTTTCCTCAGAGTATCTTTGTGGTGAAACTCAAGGTCAAATATTTCTATCCCTTCAACTTCAAAGTTCCGACCATTACTTTCTTTTCTGTATTGTTATTTATTCTGTGATATTACCTACTAACTATTTGGAACAAATTTTCATTTCTTTAAAAATTTCGCATCAAAAATTTTGTATTTGGAAGTGTTTATATACCTCTAGCATCAGATCTGAACTGTTATATTGAATATTGTGACAGTCTAGAATATTTGTTTGATAAGTATATGGAATTTAACTATGTAATTTGTGGTGATTATAATTTACCTAATGTTACATGGAACAATACTTACGATACTCTTAATGTTAAGTAGACTATGGTGCACAATTAGCTCATAAATGAGGGGAGTGCAGAGTATAATCAAGATCGAACTTCACTAGATATAAGTTCGTATGATTTTATAAATGTAATTCATGCTGATTTCAATTCATTTAAAAAAAACATAGTTTAGGTAATGACTGAATACCTGATTTTAGAAACGGCGCTAAATATAGAATATAAGGGTTTAAGTAAAAATCCATATTAGCTTAAAAAAGTTGCCTCAATCAGAACAAGGTTATAACATCAATAATTTTGTTGTTATGAAAATGTTTCCTGTAAAATTTGTTTTTTAATGTTCACAACCTTGTTCGAAGCAGGTATTCGATTATTTATGACAAGAAAAAAAATTAAAAATAAACTTAACCACAATCTCGTTCCTGTTTTCTCTTATCGCTAACGAATATACACCTCCGGCTGCTAAATTGAAATGTTTTTCATACAAATGTTGATTTTCTTTACTCCTTATAAAGCATTCGTATCTAAAAAAGTAATAAACGCTACATAATAATTATACAGAGTAGAAATAGCAGTTTGTGCTACGAGAGTGGATATGATGGCCATATCACACGAAGACGAGGTTTGAGCGACGCTCAATCATCTGTGTGCGATACGGAATTGTACAGTATATTTTTTCTACGGCTCAATAACAAAAATTTTTAACCCCTTCAGCGTCCCCTAACCCTTACAAAAAAATTAAAAAGGCAACCCCCTACGTATACATCAAATGAAAGCCTAAGAAAAATGTAACCGTGTAAACAAAAACATATTTTGTTGAATTATTTTACTTTTAGCAATCGCTGTATGTAAATTCTATATGGGTAATTGAGTTTGTGTTGATGGCATTATATTGTAAAAAATAGTGGTCAAAAATAAAACTAAATATACATAAATAAATACATTGCTGTTTATTTATTCTTGCCCAAACTAATTTAAATACTTACATTCCTTGCGGCACCTCTAAATATTCTGAAACTGCTATATCCGAATGATTGGAATCAGGAACGAAATAAATATCTTCTAACCCCGTAGTACTTCTTAAACTAACAGTAATATTGTGAAAATAATATGAATTCTTAATGTAAACAATTCTAAAAACAAAAAATATAATTAAGTATCTATAGGAGTAAAAAAATCTGATGAGTCCGATTACAATAAGAAGAACACGATAGCGTCATCAATTGGCGCAGTCAATCGTTGTGATCATCGCCTGCTTCACGTCCAGTGGCGTGTTAGTAATATTAAAAAAAAATAGGAATTATTTTTTTAAACCACAAACCTTATTCTTTATTTTATTTTCAGTTGTAGATAATATACATTTTAAGTTTAAAATAATGGTTACGGCATAGAGGTTTAGAGTATTGTTACTAGGCATTGTTGCCTTGGCAATATTTGGCTTAATTTTTTTTGCCCTATGTAATTTAATTTATAATAATATTAGTATGCGAAAAACAAATGCGATTTACCAAAACTCAAAGATGGCAATATTAGGTACCTGTGAAAATCTTGCTACTTGCCGCTACAATTAAAAATAATTATTATTTTTGTATTTAAAGAAAAAGAGAGCAGAGTGGTCGGAAGAAGACATTAAAGAAACGTTGATAGCCATAAAGACCGGATTAAGCATTAGCAAAGCCTCGCAAATGTTTCGAATTACTTGAACAACTTTGGGGCTGCATTATAGGAAAGATGATGCAAGGAAACATCTTAGCAGATGTAGTATTTTATCAGAAGATCAAAAAAATGATTTAGTAAATAGGATCCATCGGCTGGCAGATGTTGGGATGCCAGTTACGCCTAACATAGTGAGACGGAGTGTATACTCTTACGCCATGACACGTAACATTCCTAATCCATTTACCCAGACATCAAAATTAGCAGGCAGAAAGTGGCTCTGAAGTTATTTTTCAAGAGACATCCTAATGTTGTGAGACGTAAGGCGCAGCAAATGAACCCTGTTAGGGCTCAGAAAATTAATGCTTTTATTATTAATGATTATTTTAATAAATTAAAGGAAGTCTACACTTGGAGTTATTCGACAAATCAGGCAATGTATACAACATGGACGAGAAAGGTTTTTGCCTCACAATTCATAAACAACAAAATGTATTGGCGAAAAAGGGTGTAAGGCGTGTCTACTTGGTGGTCCCTGAACATGGTGAAAATGTAATCATAGTTGCATGTGGAAATGCATTAGGGCAGGCAATTCCACCAGTGATCCTTTTTAAAGGAAAGCGTTGCAAGCCCGAATGGGCAGATCATTCACCCTCCGGATCCAAGATCAACATGACCATTAATGGAAGCATGATCAGCGAAGCTTTTATTTCCTGGCTCGACCATTTTGCCATGTTTAAGAACCCAGGACCAACACTTCTCATTTTTGATGGGGCCAAGTCACACCTCGACGCATCTATTATTCATGTTACCTAGTAACACCACGCACGAATTGCAATCCATGGACAAGTCAGTTTTTCGTAGCTATGAAGAATTTTGGGATCAGGAAATATTGAACTTTTTGACAACATAACCTGGGAAAGCTTTAACCAAAATAAGGTTTGGAGTAATATTTTCAAAAGTGTTTTTGAAAGCAATGACACCGTCCAATATACTATCTGGATTTAAAAGTACAGGCATCTATCCTTTTGCTCCCAATGCAATCCCGGAATCTGCGTTTGCACCCAGCAACAAGAATGGATGAAAATAAAAATGAATCTAATATTACTGAGGCAACAAGTCCTATTCCCGGGCCAAGTGGAGTAAATTTATCAATAACCAAAAATAAAAAACATACTGCTTACCTCCAAGTGATTCATGGGATTCAGAAGCTACCCTTGATAATGACTCCTTCACAGAAAGTGACAACGAACCACTAATTAAATTAATGTCTGTTGGATGTTAAGGAGAAAGAAGTATCTGGTGATGATTTCGATAAATCGTTTAGTGGCATGGGATTTCTAGTTACTCCTGAGATAAAAATTGTACCGTAACAAAGAAAGGCTTCTATTAATTTAAGGGCCCAAGAAATACCGAGAGACTTATTCAGTCTCAGCCAAAATCTGCTCCAAAAAAAATTACGCAAAAAAACTTGACCTCAAAGAAAGTGGTACACGCAGAATCTGCTCCAAAAAATCTTTGCTTATGGTTGACTCTTGGTTCTGTTTTCTATGTGAAAGAGAAAGACAAATCGATATGAGGTTGTGCTTGGTATGTAAAAGATACGTTTACGAAGAATGTGTCGGTCTACTTAGGCCGACAAAGAAATGTTTATTTGTCCAGATTGTTGGACTTAGTTTTTCCATTAACAAAAATGTTACTTTTTACTAAGTGTTTCATTAGAATGTTCCTCTTTAGTTTATTTTTTATAAGAAGATTCCTTTTTATTTTGTACCTGGGTAGCATTTACGATATGATTAAGTGTAAATGTAAATAAAGTTATGTTCTTTATTTTGCTTATTTCAGTGTTTTCAGTGATGATCCTAATACTGCCATTACATGGCAATGTTTGGGTTACCTGTTCCAAATATTGTTATTTTGCAATGCTTTAAAAAAATAATAAATTAAAATTACAAATAAATGGCATACGTTCCATATCAGAAGACATGCTGTAGACTGTTTTCTATAACGTACAGGTTGATCTAGTTGAATATGTTAAAACAAAAAAATAAAAATCCTTGGGGTGGCAATAATTGGCTTAGGTAGGTAAGTACCTAATTTGTTAAGTCCTCTTGAAAACCTTCTCAATTAGTTTTCCGATTTACTTGGACCGGTTTTGCTTTTTTTTTGAATTCTGCTTGTGTACAGTTTGGTGAAATTATTCTCAGAATAAAGAAATCCAAAAAATCTGGAATCTTATTTGGTTCGGTGAGTCGATAGGTGGATTTTTCAGAACCAAGTTCTGATGCAGCTCGGTCGACATAGAAGTGTTCGTATTATTGTAATCGGATTTTACCAAGTATTACCTAACCCTAGGAGCACCTGTTAACGATTTTTTAAAATCGACTGGATCCGTTATGAACGACTTAATCGCATCATGTTCATTTGTTCCAATTAGTATCGAATCGATCTGAAATTGCATGAAAGTTATCAAAATGATTCAATAAGAATTTTATAGAAAACTGCTCAGAAGGGCCAACCGAGGGTAAAATTTTAAAATCCAAGTTACAGAAGAAGTAGGGTAAATAACCGTTCACTACTAATTATGATGACATTGATATTTGCCAGGACTGCAATAAATTCCACTGCTTTAGATATATCCGAAGAAGAAGTAAAAGCTGCATTAGAGGACATTATAGAAGAAGAGCGCACCAGTAACCCAGTTATTAGAGACGCCCCAGGGGAGAGAAAGATGGCAATAGTAAACGTGGATAGAAACTAAGCACAACTTATAACTAAAGCCGGCAAAATAAGGATCGGGTGGAATTCGTGTAGGGTAAAAGAAAAAATAAACATAGACAAATGTTTTAAATGCTTGAAGTACGGCCACCGTACCAGAGAATGTACAGGTCCGGATACATCGAAACTGTGACTAAAATGTGGACGAGAGGACAACAAAATAGAGAATTGTAAATACGAACAGGAGCATTGTTGGACTTGCGATATCGACAAACATCGAAATGGATCAGGAAACTGTCCAAACCTTAAACAGATGATTAGAGAGAGAAGAAGGGTGTACGGAAGAAGCACCTCGCTAATCTCGAACTCGTAATCTCTACACACAAGCCAACACAGGCCAACCTAGACAGAAAGTACGTTGATCTAGTCTTCGGCACCGCTCAAAGAATAGAAGCGCACCTATTGATCATCAGAGAATCCAACAAAAAAAATAGTAGGAAAATCAGGATAGATAGCGTATAATCAAAAATATCTTGGAATCTACTTTAAAAACAAGAAAATCATAGTAAAAAAGTGGAAGTAGGAGACGGATACCTCGGGATCCATATGAAGAACTATAGTATATACGGATGCTTCATATCCCCTAACATATACCAACAGGACTATAAGAAAAAAGTGGAACATATTTTTGAGAGGGCCAAGATATCAAACAAGGAATTCATCATAGCCGAAGACATGAACACAAAGTCGGCAAATTTCGGATCCCTGACCACAGACAGAAGAGAAGAGTTTTTGACCGAGTTCATTGACGCCATGAACCTTGCAGTCCACAACAATGGCAACAAGACAACCTTCGTAAGAGGCCTATCCAAGTCCTACATAGACGTAACGCTATCCACTGGCAACTTAACAAGAAGAATCCTAAAATGGGAAGTCATGGACCTGGACTCGGCAACTGAATATGCCTACATTTACTTCGGTATAGAGACCCCACCCAAAAATTCGGATACGTACAGCCTCACAAAAGAATCACAGATAAAAGGAAATGTTTGAGGAACTGTTACTATGGAATATTGAGCAAACAGCATAAACACCAAAACTAGAGCTATCAAAGAAGAGTACAGAGGATAAAAAAAAATTCAGAAAGATCAAATCCGTATTGGTGGGACGAGGACATAGAAAACAAAAGAAAAAAGTGCAACAAAGCCAAGGGGGTACAGACAAGGAAAAGACGTACAATAAACATAAGAGAAAAAACGCAAATAATAGCTGACCTAAAAACCAAAAGAAAAGCATATAGGATCGTGACCCGAAAATTTGGGCACGCCCCACATGATATTCCGCTTAAACAGAAGACGAAAATTGCCGAAGAACTATTTCCAAGAAAAGACGACTACTGGATGACCGAAAGAAGAGATAGTAATCCACCCGCATTCACCACAGAAGAACTCGAGACAGCACTGCATGGACTAAAAAATGGCAGCGCCACAGGATCTGACCTTATACCTCTGGAAATCATCAAGGTGGAGGGAAACATCGCTAGCAAATGGCTGCTAGACATAATAAACAAGCTGCTAGCACAGCCAAGTTTTTCAAGAGATTGGAAGACCGCGAAGCTAGTGCTGATACCGAAAGGAGGAGGAAACACTCAAAAGTATCGGTCGATTTGCCTGCTCGTAACGATCAGCAAAACTTTTTAGTCGCTACTCAAAAGACTGCTAAAAAAGAACTCAACGAGAAAGGAGGTATCTCAGATCTCCAATTCGTATTCAGGAAGGGAAGATCCACAATAACGGCGATCGAAGAAGTCCTTAACGCTGTGACAAAACACAGGGGGAGCGAATGGGTTACTCTAATCACAATAGACGTGAAAAACACATTTAATACTGCGTCGTGGCCAAAAATCCTGAAAAATTTGGAAAAACTAGAGATTTCGAAATATCTAAGAAATATCATCAAAGACTACCTGACGGATCTAAAAATAATATTTAAAGAGGGGCAAGAAATGCAGGTAACGGCCATGGTTTCACAGGGCTCTGTCCTGGGACCGACCCTGTGGAACGTAATGTACGACGGAATACTACGGCTAGCATGGCAGGAGAGAGTCAAGGCCGAGGCATACGCGGATGCCTGGATTTCATAGCATGTGCAAACAGACCACAAAATCTAATGGATAAAGCCAATAATGTACTGGAAACCATCCAAAAATGAATAGATGAAAGCGACCTCAAACTAGCACCGGAAAAGACGGCAGTACTCCTCAAGTCCAGGAGAAAAGGCAAAAACCAGATAAATTTTAAACTAGGAAAAGCACGTATTGAACCAAAAAGAACCATAACATATCTTAGAGTCATGCTAGACCAGCAGGACACATTTGGCGACCACGTAATGTACACTATCCGGAAAGCAGAGGCCAGGGTCACAACACTTAGCTGACTTATGCCCAACATTAGTGGACCTAGTAGCAGGAAGAGAGAAATCATAGGAGCCACAATAGACTCAACGCTACTCTACGCTGCACAAATATGGCATGGAGCCACAAAAATCCAAAATTACCAAAACCTACTGACCGGCGCACAAAGGAAAACACTACTAAGGATCATTAGCGCATACAGAACAATCTCTAGCAAGGTAGTACAAGCAACAGCCGGAATTATCCCAATTACCATCAAAATAGACGAAAGAAGGCGTTTGCACCAAAGAGAAGATGGAACAACGAACCCAAAAAAAAAAGAAGATAGGGAAAATATCGATGAACAGGTGGCAAAGTGAATGGGTAATGACGAAAAACGTGGCACAGTGGACAAAAAGGCTCATACCAGACGTCATAAAATAGACTAAATGTCCATTTCGTAAAACAGACTACTACCTCACGCAAGCCCTAAGCGGATATGGATCCTTCAGAGCCTTTACCTACCGGATAGGAAAAACAGACGACGACGAATGTATATACTGTGGAGAGATAGACAGTGTATCTCATACACTGTACAGATGTGTTAGATGGGCACAGACAAGAAACAAACTGGTTCTGCAAATCGGCGAAGATATAAACGAGGAGAACATGGTACGAGAGATGATGAAGTGTAAGGAAAACTATAAAAAGATCCATAGATACATAAGAGACATAATGAAAGACAAAGAGAAAAAAGAAAAAGAGCATGAAACCATAGGTTATATGCAAAGTTAACAAAGTTAACGGAAGCCCCCACACTGATGAAATGCCATACAGGCGGTCCCGGGGTGAACCAAAGTCATGTTTGTGGTGCTTTTAGTGGGTATGCGATCTGAACAACGCGAGTGGCGAGCCCCATACTACCTACCGTACGCGGAAGGTATTCATAAAGTGAATTTTCACAACAACAATAACAACAAAAAAAAGATATATCCGAAGTTAATAATTACAAAAAAGTTTTATCGTAGAAAAATATTTTGTGCTAATGTAAATTCATAAGTTGCACAAATTGAATCAACTATAAAACTGTTTTTAAAGTGATTTCAATATATTGTCTAATTCCTACATTTCTAAAACAATGCAATAATTCCTTATTGCGGTCCTAAAAAATATCATAAGTATAAGCACTTTTTTGAGTGTGTAATTTAAGATTTTTATCGCTGAGAAAAATATGTAGAATGTATATTCGGTAAGATAATTTTTTTCTAAATTGAATCATGTGCGTCATTTTTGCCAATAACGTATAATTACTCATTTATATATCGTACCTGATGCTCCACTGATAATATATTAATATCAAAGGTGTGTTTGCTGAAGTAACAATCGCCACAATAATAGGGTGCTTCAACCCTTAAAGAAAACGTGGAATAATTGTGCGTGACAACGTTCTTAAAGCGAAAAAGTTCACTTGCATTAATGATTTGGACGCCATTGAAAGGATTGTAAAGCTGTAACAAAAAAAAAATACGAAATTCGTAAGATTTACAGAAAAATTATAAAATTTTACAACGAGGAATTATAATGTTCTATCATAGTTTTATATACGAAGACTAACGAGAAGGGAGGGAATCGGCATGCATATTAATGAGGGGTAACAGGCGAAGTGTCACCACCAGATGGCACTACTGAAACGTGAGGTCAATATTAAATGATATATTTGAGAAAATAATGATTAGGATAAATACGAATCAATTAAAGTAAGAGACCTAAAAAAGAAGGGGTGTTAGAGTGACCGAAACTAGAAAAACTTATTGAAAAGTATTAAATTTATAAGTGATGTATTTGAGTTAATTTCTGTTATATTTTAATAATTTATTAGTATAGTTGGTATATAATTGGTGTTAAGATTTGATTGTTATACAAACTACGCAGAATTAAAAAGACGTTTATTCTTTTTATACAAAAGTCAAGTTCAAAAACAACAGAACAATATAAACAATCTAAAATTAATAATATCTTGTTTCTGATTGAATTCTATAATACTCGTGTTCCTTTGAGGGTGGAACGGCATTTACAGATTAAATGTCTTAAACGCTGAAGCGTGTATAACGGAACTGAAAAATTGGTATATCATCTGTTCTTCTTTTGGTAAAGTTAATGTGAGCGGATTTTTCTTCGCCACTGTCTAGACCAGATTTGTATGCTATTGATTCCGTTTTCAAGATTAGTTGTTGTTTCGTGTTGATCCTATGGTTAAGACAGTTGTATCATCAACGAATGTGAGTAATTTTATACTTTCTATCTCTGGAAGGTTATATTTGTATAATAAATACAATACTGCCCCAAGAATATTTCCATGTGGGACGCCAGCATTTATTGACTTGAGTTTAGAGTATTTCTCTAGATTTCCTCGGTTCACTTGGTTGACTGTGCCGTTCTATTTTGTAGTTTTATTTCTTATGCTTCGCAGAGCTTCTACAGTGATGCAACCTTTATATTTAGCTGGGTACGCCCCTTCATAGTGTATGCACTTAGGTGATGTATTTATTGGCTTTGATTTTTACAATTTTGGGTTGAGTGTTTTTCCGCACAATTGACACATCCCAGGTTCTCTTCTGGCATCATTTACATTAGGGTAATAGTGGAGGTGTTTTGTAGGCTTTTCTTTTCACTTCACCCTTTTCTTTACACTTTTCTTTACACTTTTCTTTACACTTTTCTTTACACTTTTCTTTACACTTTTCTTTGCAATTTTCTTTACACTTTTCTTTACACTATCTCTTCTGCACAGTAACTAACTTACTTCAAGTATTTTAAACCCTTTATTTCTTAGGTCCCCTTTGATTTGGTTTGGTTGACAAGACATCTGGTGAGTATTAAAATATAACCCCTCATTTCGCTACCCGCCACCTACAATATACAGGGTGTTTCCGAACTTAGCGTCCAAATTTGTAGGGGTGATAGTTCGCATAATTTGAGACCGATTCGCAGATTTCATTTTTCCAAAATAATTAAAAATTATAAACAGGTACGGTCCTGCACAGCGATAGGATCGCCTAGACTCGCGCGCGCTACGCTTAGAATCAACAAAATTGCAAATCGCATCTGTTTTTGAGCACTATTGCGCTACACGCTCAGGGTAGGACCTGCTCTTTGATTTTTTTATAATGGCTCTATTTTGTTTATTATAATTTTTTAGAAAAATGAAATCTGCCAATCGCTCTCAAATTATGCGAACTACCACCCCTACAAATTTGGACGCCAAGTTCGGAAACACCCTGTATTTAGTGACCGTCACAAAGAAGAGGACAAAAATTTGAAATTCGACTTATGGCGATTCGATGCCTTCTCTCTAGTATTCAAAAGTTTACCCTTAAGTTGCATGGCAATGTGTTGATTATGTTAACGGAAGCATGGTTTTTATCAGGAAGTTCCGGATAGGTAGTTTCCAATACTAATTCCAATAGTCCAGCTGATAGAAATGCCATTCCGGCTATTATACCACCTAATGCCATGCGGTGTAGGGAATTCTCCAGGATGTTATATTTCGAGAAACATGGATAGAAAATTCGATCGAATATCGGGATAATAATTAATACCATCACGGGATTGACCACTTGCATTTGGTCTGGTGTTATTTGAGCGCCCATTATATTTCCATTCATATGTGATGCCTGTAAAAATATTTAAATCAATTTAAATTTGTATAATTTGTAATAAAATAATAAAAAAGCATAATATATTTATTATTTCTGAAATTTCTTAAGAGTCGCCTTTTATCAGGCAACAAAAGTCAAACTTAGGTGTAGGCAATACAAATAGCATCTCCTTCACCATTTTTTTAAATTAATACATTTTGTCCAGAGATTTTCTTTATAAAATTTTAAAAAGTCATGTATCAATTTTGAAACCTAAATTTTCTCTTATTGAATCTCACCTGAAAAGTCCACCTAGAACCCTGTTGATCGAATAACGACCAAAAGATAGGCAACGGAGTGTACAGCAACAAAATGGCGCAAACCACCTTCATATCCTCGATCAATTTCGTATTGAACTTCCCTTTCGCCTTGTCTAGCCAATGATCGGATCTGGTCCGTTCTTTAAATTTGGTTGCTAAAGCATACTAAATTTTATTTTTCAAATCTAGTTTGTACGTCTTCAGATACGTACCCAACCGCATTTAAAAAATTCAATCAGTACGTTCCGTTTGGGCGACTTGAGTTTGTAGAAACTTTTTCCCATTACAAAAAGCACTAAAATTTAACAAATAATAAATTGAATACTCTATACATAGGTATAAATAAATAGGCATAAACAAATAGGTATACATAAATATAAGTAGGTATAAATAGGTATAAATAGGTATAAATAGGTATAAATAGGTATAAATAGGTATAAATAGGTATAAATAGGTATAAATAGGTATAAATAGGTATAAATAGGTATAAATAGGTATAAATAGGTATAAATAGGTATAAATAGGTATAAATAGGTATAAATAGGTATAAATAGGTATAAATAGGTATAAATAGGTATAAATAGGTATAAATAGGTATAAATAGGTATAAATAGGTATAAATAGGTATAAATAGGTATAAATAGGTATAAATAGGTATAAATAGGTATAAATAGGTATAAATAGGTATAAATAGGTATAAATAGGTATAAATAGGTATAAATAGGTATAAATAGGTATAAATAGGTATAAATAGGTATAAATAGGTATAAATAGGTATAAATAGGTATAAATAGGTATAAATAGGTATAAATAGGTATAAATAGGTATAAATAGGTATAAATAGGTATAAATAGGTATAAATAGGTATAAATAGGTATAAATAGGTATAAATAGGTATAAATAGGTATAAATAGGTATAAATAGGTATAAATAGGTATAAATAGGTATAAATAGGTATAAATAGGTATAAATAGGTATAAATAGGTATAAATAGGTATAAATAGGTATAAATAGGTATAAATAGGTATAAATAGGTATAAATAGGTATAAATAGGTATAAATAGGTATAAATAGGTATAAATAGGTATAAATAGGTATAAATAGGTATAAATAGGTATAAATAGGTATAAATAGGTATAAATAGGTATAAATAGGTATAAATAGGTATAAATAGGTATAAATAGGTATAAATAGGTATAAATAGGTATAAATAGGTATAAATAGGTATAAATAGGTATAAATTGGTATAAATAGGTATAAATAGGTATAAATAGGTATAAATAGGTATAAATAGGTTTAAATAGGTTTAAATAGGTATAAATAGGTATACATACACAAATACATAAATAGGTTATTTTATCTATAGCGTAATTGATACAAAGTACCTAAACAAAATCTAAAATACAATTTGTTTTATGACTTACATATGGCCATCAACATGAGCGCAGCTGGAAATCCAAATCCCAAAGCGTAACAAGTGTCTTCTCCGAAACAAGTGACGGCTTTTTTCATTATCGGTGTCAACGTCATACCGACGAAGCCTCCCAAATTTATTGTGAAGTAAAATATGGAAAAGAAATGCATGAGCATATCTTTTTGGGCCGGCAAAGTGAATTGCTCGGCCCCGAAAGCTGCTACGCACGGTTTTATACCGCCCGTTCCGATTGCTATGAGGCTTAAACCGATAGCTGAAAACAAACTACAAAAAAGGATAAAACTTCAATAACATTTAGTAGCAATAACATCGTTTTTACTCGAAAAACCTAGATACTATAAGCACATGTTTCGTTAACCGTGTTAGCAGCTTCATTTTAAATTAACTTACGTGGGAGATACACCAATAGTCGGAACAGCTGCAACGCACATCAGTATATTTCCAATTAGGTAGATTATTGCAAAATTTCTGATTGTTCTAAAATATTGAAAAAAATTTACACTACTTATAATCTTAAATTATTACTTTGGTCATCGTTGTTAATGTATGATGCTTTGAATACTATTAACACTTGAAATGGGGTAGCAGTTGGGGTAGAAAACTTAAGAGGAGGCAAGGACGGGACGAAGGAACTGTTATAATAAATTGTGATAGTAAAAACTCTACAGAAAAAATGAGATCAAATTGAACATAAACTTGACAAGCAATACATTGTGGTAGATGGTAAGCCAGAAACCTAAAATTATTAATTAGAGGAGCTGAAGAAGAGTTTATCACGGGAGGTCATGAGTTAGATGGTGATGATATGTAATTAATCAAATACCTGCAGAAAAGCCAAAGAAAGGAAGGTGATATATAGTATTAGAGACTGATATGTCATACAAAATAAGCTATGTCAAGCGGGTAAAATTAATATTCGATGGCCAAAATATACTGTTAGTAAATTTTTTTTAGTAGTAAGATATTTTACAATCACACAAAAAAGTGGAGTTTGATCATAAAAACAACAGAAATGTGCCTGATGAAGCTAAAACCTTTCTGATAAGGAAAGATCCCAGCTAGCACATAACATTGCCAAGCCTTTCGGCGATGTTGTTTTAAGGAAACGTAATAACATTACCATACAACGTAAATGCAACGTTCATGAGAAGTTGTTGAGAGAAATCAGAACCTTGCAAAACTTCTATTTGTTACTTACGTATTTAACCTACCTGTAAAATATTGTAAAATGAACCGATTTACACGTAAATCGTGTAAATCGTGTTCATTTTACAATTTATTTCAACCCAAAATTGATGAAACTTGTTTTTGTAGTATTCCCTAGTGGATGGAGAGTATGGTGAGTTTTCTCTCTTTTTTATTATTTTATATATCGTTTTGTTTCCAACACACCTTACACCACATATTCTCCTTTCCACTAGGCGAGCCTGAAGATGAAGTGATGACACTTCGAAACCGGTCGCACTCAATGTTTTGTTAAACAATTAAACATTGGCTTTCCTTGTGAGATATAAAGGACTTTTTCTCACCCTTCACCTTAAAATTCACTAAATACACGTTTACATATGTTTTTTATTTTTATTCTCACTATAAATTGGTTAATATATTAGTTGAAGAAAGGACACATATAATATAAACAAAATAGTTATTTTGTCTAATATTCTACGTTCAGACCATAGATATAGAAACCAGGTTCAGACCTGTTTATTCCTTTCTGCGCATGCTCGCTAATCCCAAAAATAAAAAGATGGCGACTCACTATAATAAATTTTTTTGGTTTATTGAATCTGTGACCTGTTATGATAACAAAACGTAATAAAGTAATCCACGAGAACTACTGTGAATATAGTTATTCGTTTGTCATAAGTCATAACAAAAGCAACAAAACATAAAAAAATGTCACTTGTTACCATCGAGATAGAATAAAGGGGAGACGCTATGACGTTACTAAAAGTGTCCGCACTTTTCAATAAGCATTACATTTTTACGTCATGTGTCAAACTAACGTGACCTAGTCAGTTTGATTACTGTTTTGGTGAGAATAAACGCCATTTTATTTAAATAGCTGCATTTAAATCTTATAAAAAGTTGTTTATTTTAATTTTAAATAATGGTATCATGTGCTATAAGAAGCTGTTGCAGCAGTGACAGCGTTAATAAGAAAAAAACTTCAGGAATTACATTTCATAAGTAAGTCTAAAGCATATTCTAAACAATTATAAGGACCGTATTCTTAATTTTTGTTTCAATGTTTGTGTGTTAATTAATCATAATTTACTTTTCTAATAATATAAGTATATCAATCTTGCTAATTTAGATTCTGATAAAAATTGTAATGATAATTTCACATCAGTAGTGATGCCTATATAAATCATTGGGGCTATAAAGTTAATATTTTATGTTATTCCTGTAGGTAGAGTTAGGGAATAAGTTTTAAATTTTCACAACGCTAAATATACAAATACCTGAATTATAGATTTCCAAAGAACTTTATACTTGAATTACAGATTTCAAAAGAACTTTATACTTGAATTGTAGATTTCCAAAGAACTCTGTAACGCGGGATTCATGGATTGGATTTGTAAATAGAGGTGACTGGAAACCTTCAAAATATAGTGTACTATGCTCTAGACATTTTGAAGAAAACTGTTTCGATAGAAATTCTGTACATTTTGTTCGTCTGAAAGATAATGCGATTCCGTCTTTGCTGAATCCAAGTTTAAATCAGGTAAAAGTTTAGTTCTCTTATCAGATGTGGTCGGTCATATTAAAAGGAACCAAAAGAGGTTAACTCATATGTGCACGCAGTTTAGATCAGCAAAGAAAACTGATATTTCGTGCAATTTTTTATTGAAATAGCAACGCGCTTTCGGCATTCAGCCATCTTAAGTGCTTATCGTCAAGCAAAACACGTCCTTCAATATCGGTTTTCATCGTTATTTCAATAATAAACTATTGAAGAATCCCATCTTGCTAAATCACCATTTTTAATAAGTTGTTAAAAAGTTTATTGTTAATTTGTTTAAATTTTAAAGTTTAAGACCTTCTAATTAACGATTTTCATTAAAGCAAAGTAAACAATAAGCACTGAAGATGGTGTAATACATTGCTGGACATTAAAAAGAATTTTCCAGAAAAATTATATATATTTCTGGTCTCATATTTTTAAGAATTTATTCTATAATTTAGATACAGTCTAGAAAGAAAGTCAGAAAATTGGGCAAAACTAAAAATTACTGATGGTTTTAGGAAGAATCTTCAATCCCGGCGAAGATTCGAATTTTATCTAATGTGTTAATACGACCACCTAATGACATCACACTTCGTCCGAGCACCTCAGCATCCATTGCTAGTACTTCTAAAGATAGATCTCCAGAACATGAAAAATATTCTTCTGAGAAAATATCTTCTAGAGAAAAGAAGATTTTGGCAAAACTTAAACGTACACAAGAAATAAGCAAGATAAGAAAACGAAAGCTGGAGCAAATTAGAAAAAAATGTCGTCGTAAAGAAAAACGAATTGCAGATATAAAAGAAATCATTTCTGCCCTTAAAAAGAAAAAATATATAGAAGATGAATATTTGGACATTCTATCTAGGCTTGACGGACCACAAGAATTATATCTTCGGCAAATTAAAAAAAAAAATAATAAATCCTTACCAAAGCAATACTCTGAGGAGTTGAAGGTATTTTCCCTAACTTTACACTACTACTCACCAGCTGCGTACAACTATGTACGACGTACCTTCAACACATGTCTTCCTCATACCAGAACCATAAGCAGATGGTACCAAAGTTTAAATGGGGAGCCTGGGTTTACCAGTGAGTCATTCAAAGCTCTAAATTTAAAAGTGCGGTCAAGCGAGAAAAAAGTTATTGGCGCTTTAATTATGGACGAAATGGCTATTCGCCAATTAGATGAGTGGGTTTCAAGTCAGGGGAAGAGTTATGGTTTTGTAGACATGGGGACCGGAGTAAAGGAAGAAACCTTAGCTAAAGAGGCTCTTGTATTTTTACTTAATTGTGTAAATGGGAACTGGAAAATACCTTTAGCTTATTTTTTAATAGCTGGAATATCTAGTGAGCAGAAGGCTTGCTTAGTATTAGAATGTTTGAAAAAATGTAATGACGCAGGCGTTTATATAATAAGTCTGACATTCGATGGCTGCCCAGCTAATTTAACCATGGCCAATAGATTAGGTTGCAAATTAGATCATCGCGATCTAAAAACAACATTTACTGATCCGAGTTCTCAACAAGAAGTGGCGGTATTTTTGGATCCTTCACATATGGTCAAACTAGTTAGGAATACCTTAGCAGATAAGTACTCATTTGTGAACAGTGATAATGAACTGATAGAGTGGAGATATTTTATGAAATTGCAAGAGCTACAAGAAGAAGAAAACTTTCATCTTGCAAACAAATTGAGGAAACAACATATAGTATTTAAACAACAAAAAATGAAGGTAAAGCTCGCAACACAGTTGTTTAGTGAAAGTGTAGCAACTTCCTTACTTTTTTGTAAACAGGTTTTAGATATAAAAGAATTTGAGAATGTTAATGCAACTATTGAGTTTGTAAAATTAATTAATAATTTATTTGATGTTCTGAACTCGAGAAATCTCCTTCAATTTGGTTACAAAAAACCTCTATCTACAAAAAATTTTGACAATATTTCAACATTTTTGGATATGGCTGATAAATATATTGACGGCTTAAAAACCCATTGCAATGGGCAATTATTATTAGACAGTGGGAGGCATACGGGATTTTTAGGATTAAAAGTCTGTATCCACAGTACTAAATGTTTATTTAATTCTTTAGTTGTGCAAAACAATTTATTATCTTTCTTACCAATATATAAAATCTCCCAGGATAACTTGGAATTATTTTTTTGTTCGATCCGTTCACATGGGGGTTATAATAACAACCCCACAGTAAGACAATTTGTGTCAGCCTATAAAAAGCTACTCGTCCATGTAGAGTTGTGTGAAAGTTTTCGTGGGAACTGTATACCCTTAGAAGAGATTAGTATTTTAAAGTGCGATGTAGTAAGACAACTTAATATAACATCAACTGAATATTCATTTTCCAACCAAGTACAAGATTATGAAAATGATCCCTTGGAAATTATTAAAGCCATCGAATTAGATCACGGTTATGTACCAGATCCCTGTATTACCCCATTTTCGAAATATGTAATTACTTACATCGCGGGTTACGTTGTTCATTCTATAAATAAAAAAATACATTGTGGACAATGTTCTCAAGCACTAATAAGTGATACAAAAAATATTAATATATATTCATTCATAGATATGAAAAATAAAAACAAATTGAATTACCCATCAGAAGATGTTATCGCTATCTGTATGACATGTGAAAAGCTTTTAAAAATCAGATTAGTTTCTGAAAAACAGATTTCACTTGACATCTTAATTCAGTTAGTACTAAGAGAATATATTTCTTCAAACAC